TAATGCCAATGCCTATCACTAGTCGAACTGGGTCCACCCTTGTTTCTTTTTTCATGTGCCAATCTTTCTGTTGATCCCGCACTTGTGGTTCGACCATTTGATGGTTTCGTTCGCCACACGAACCCAGTGGGCTCAGGAATTGCCGAATATATATAGGGAACTGGAACTGCCGAGTGGGCTATAACATATCGCCCATATCACCTGGTAGCCAACGTGCTCGATGTGTACTGCTCTTCTTTATACATCTGTGTTATCAGTGGGGCAATCAGCTGGAGGTTGATCTTCAAGTTCATTCAAAATGTGCACACTATCGAGCAGAATAACAACCAATTAGGTAGAGGAATTCAACCGGAAGCTGTGTTATTTCAGGTAGGAAATCAGGGAAATCAACAATATGGAATAACCACCGGGTTCCAGTTTACCGGGTATCCAACAGTCGAGCTTCGATTCGCCAGCCTCTCACGCTTTCAGCTATTTTCGTGCGAAAGCAAAGGCAAATACGAATACGTAGGCTATATAGTTGGTAATCTGAATAATACGGTCGACGACAGAGCGAGCGGACGACTGCCGACAGGCGGATCGCTAATTAAAGCCGGCGAACCTGTTCCGAGGCATCCCAGCCGAGGCGGCACGGTAAACGTAAACACCTGTAATCGTGGGCCGTCGTCCATTGAGTTATCACATATTTGAGGAGCGGCGATGACTTTTTGCCTGAACATCGCTGCCCTGCTGCTTGATAAGCCGATTTGCGTCTCCATTTCGCTGGTGATTTCATGTGCTTTCCATTGTTTTCTGGCTGTCTTCGCACTTTCCGCCCGCCCAGCTCTCAGTATCCGTTCGAGTGGCTCGGCGATGGTTCACCCAAGAATGGTGGGTCTCTCGCGATACGAATCGTAGTGCTCATCGGGCCTGTGGGACCGAATGCCTGGGGACAACTTGTGCCAATTTCTCGAGTTATCGGGCTACTTCAAGGTTATGCATCGGTTAAAAATCCAGGCGATAAGGAAGGTTCGGGCAGGCAACAATGAAAAGATGGTCCTTCTTCCTGGAATACAAACATCTGTCGATTCTGTAGTTTTATGGCCCCTTCGGACCCTAAACTAACGCAAGATTGTTTGGGATTTTCCCTCTAGCTGCGTATTTTTCCGACCGTATGTCGTCACTGACCTGCCCCAAGAATTTCTCCCAGTGCACCTACACGTTGCGTCATTAATTTGCTGTAGCATAAAGGTGAGAACAAATCTCAATGCAAACAATCGATAGCCAGACGCTCAAGCATGTGTATCTAAAACACACACATCAACTTGTATCCACGGCGATTAAGTTTTCTGCTCTCTCAGCTTAAGGTGGTGCTTATAGATCTCTAGTCAGGTTGTTAGGTTTTTCAGAGAACACTCTGTTCTTTTGAAAGCTATATTATTAATATGGAAAGCAAGGTATGAGCAGTAGCAAAACTCCACGTTCAGATACAAATTCAATTGTAGCGCATAAAAATAGCCATCATGGGCCGTCCCTTTTAGCGCCTAGGTACACAAGACGGTTTGGTAGAACAACATGAACAGGTTTACGACTCGATTAGAGTGATTGTTAGACTGTTGCTAGATGGGCGATTCGCTTGGCCGCTGGCCTCTCGGGATTCTTCATATCTAGCGCTAGCACAGACGATCGCATTGGACACTTTCCGAGTCGAGTCTCGTTTTCCCGGCATGTGCTAATGTTTCCACACGAGTGCCGGGCCACATGGACGCGAAGCTACGCGACACGACGCTACCAGATATGCTGGCCTGGCTCACCTGCTCACCTGCGTTTCACCTGCGTCAACGGGCGGCTTACACGCAATTATTAAAATGAATTTAAGCAGCCAGCCCCATTGTCTTCGATTTCCAATACCATCTGACTTGGCAACGGTGCTGTGGTGCCATCGTCAGTGGGTCCGGGTCCTCGGTGGTGCCTCAACACAACCGTGACATGTGAGTGGACATTCTTCCGCCGGCAGGCAGAAGGATGAGGGACGAGGGAGGACAGCCGTTGCCACTGCGAGGCTGCATCTGAAATGCCCCAAATAGGCCTTTACGCACCCCACTTTCAGTCTCGGTGTCGGTACTCCACCCAAAACCCCATCAGATATGTCAATCTAGCGTCTATACTTGTGGCACAACAGATGCTTGTATGAGCATTTTGCTGGAATACTTATTTATTACCTATGCTAAATTGTATCATTCGCATCCCGTTGTTCTGCAAAGTCTAAATATATGTACTGTCATCCCTTCTAGCATGGTACTAACAGCGCAATTGGTCCTTTGGGGAGATAAGGCTTTAGAGAACGCGCCACTTTGGCTAGAAAACCCCTGAGTGGCCAGCACCCCAGCCTACCATCCTACCCAGATACCTTCCATTGCCATCTGCGTCATGCATTTCGCTGCACAGAGCACTTGTGGTGGGTTGTGGGTGGTGGTGTTCCGTGTGCTGGGTGATGGGTTGTGGGTTGTGGGTGGTGGTGCGGTGGGTTAGCGTTCGGTGGTGCCAGCGCCGAGTGCCAGCGGTGGTTGCTCGGACCGCCGGAGATGAGTAAAGATATACTGAGTGGGCAACCCATGAATGAATCATTGGGGGAAGAGGCAGAACGCCATGGCATCATAGGCGGAATCCGTTTGCACAGCCAAAATAAAACAACGGCTACCGAGAATGATTGTGTGATTTGTCTTTGTTGGCCTGAGCAGAAACCATTTATTCAATAATTACATATTGACATACAAACATCAAAGGGGCGGCTGTTACACCGATATATGTATGTATGCATGTTCATATGCATGTACATCGTCGTTTGATTTTTCAGTATATTAAATAAAAATAATTGATAATAATAATAAGCGCTGTCTTTATTATATTTATAAAAAAAGTATATATTTTTATAATAAAAATGGAATAATACGGATTATCTGTGTATTCTGCAGTTTAAACTTAACAGACATTCAAGGGAGTGGAAGAAAATAGTTCGAAGGGGTTGCTAATAATACGTAAAATACGGCTACAAATTTTATGGTGAAAGTGATTATATTTGTCACTTACCAATCAAATTTAACTTAGGGCAAGTATGGGAAAATATTTTAAGATTTTACATTATAAATTTGTAAATTTTAGCATTGAGTTGTGACCCTTTTTCGACACCCTTGGGGAATGGATGCTTTACAGCACTGCGTTGACGGCACTGACCAACACTACTTGGGCGCCAAACACAGAGTTGCATTTGGCTGGTACAACTTTTATCCAACTTTCGAACGAGAATACACCCCGATATCAACTTCGGCCCCAAAAATTGGAGTATTCCCATCTGTGTCCTGCGCATTGTACGTAGGAATCGCCGGAAAACTGCCTGCCCCGGATTGCCGCCCTGGAAGTCGATATGCAACCCTAGCGGCCTAACGACTAAATGACCTTGCGCTGACATTGCCGCACAGCAGTTGCGAACGAAGAAGATTCGCCGAATCAGTGGTATCGCAATCCGGAGCTTGTTAGTACGCACCAGGAGTATCCAGAAAATCCAGAAAAATCCCAAGATGGCCTTCAACAAGCTGAGCATCGAGAGCCTGGACTTGGCGGGCAAGCGGGTGTTGATGCGGTAATGCAAAGCGAATCCTCCCGTGAAATTCAGTTCAGTTGCATAAACATTGCCCGTGCCTCTTTGCAGCGTGGACTTCAATGTGCCCATCAAGGAGGGCAAGATCACCAGCAACCAGAGGATCGTCGCCGCCTTGGATAGTGTCAAGTTGGCTCTGTCCAAGAAAGCGAAGTCGGTGGTGCTGATGTCCCACTTGGGCCGTCCCGATGGCAACAAGAACATCAAGTACACCCTGGCACCCGTGGCCGCTGAGCTGAAGACACTGCTCGGCCAGGATGTGATTTTCCTGAGCGACTGCGTCGGCAGCGAGGTGGAGGCCGCCTGCAAGGATCCCGCCCCAGGATCCGTCATTCTGCTGGAGAACGTCCGCTTCTACGTGGAGGAGGAGGGCAAGGGCTTGGACGCCAGCGGTGGCAAGGTCAAGGCCGATCCCGCCAAGGTCAAGGAGTTCCGTGCCAGCCTGGCCAAACTGGGCGATGTCTATGTCAACGACGCCTTCGGCACTGCCCATCGAGCCCACAGTTCCATGATGGGCGATGGCTTTGAGCAGCGTGCAGCTGGTCTGTTGCTGAACAAGGAGCTGAAGTACTTCTCGCAGGCCCTGGACAAGCCACCAAATCCCTTCCTGGCCATTCTCGGTGGCGCTAAGGTTGCCGACAAGATCCAGTTGATTGAGAACCTTCTGGACAAGGTCAACGAGATGATCATAGGCGGCGGCATGGCCTTCACCTTCCTAAAGGTCCTCAACAACATGAAGATTGGCGGTTCCCTGTTCGACGAGGAGGGTTCTAAGATCGTCGAGAAACTGGTGGAGAAGGCCAAGAAGAACAACGTTCAGTTGCATCTGCCAGTGGACTTTGTCTGCGGCGACAAGTTCGCCGAGAACGCTGCCGTCAGCGAGGCCACCGTGGAGGCCGGAATTCCCGATGGACATATGGGTCTGGATGTGGGTCCCAAGACCCGTGAGCTCTTCGCGGCGCCCATTGCTCGCGCCAAGCTCATCGTGTGGAACGGGTAGGTGTCGCATAAGGCAACTTTCTGAAGGTCCTGCTAACAACTTCTTAAAATGGTTCCCCCTTTTAGACCCCCTGGTGTGTTCGAGTTCCCCAACTTCGCCAACGGCACCAAGTCCATCATGGACGGCGTGGTGGCCGCCACCAAGAACGGCACCGTCTCCATCATCGGCGGTGGCGACACTGCCTCTTGCTGCGCCAAGTGGAACACCGAGGCACTCGTCTCGCACGTCTCCACCGGAGGCGGTGCTTCTCTGGAGCTCCTGGAGGGCAAGACACTGCCAGGCGTGGCTGCATTGACCAGCGCCTAAGCGTACATATTATTAATGTTAATCGCATCGTTTATCTTGTAAGCACAAACCACGACGTTAAAAAGTGTTGAATCTATTTGTTGCGGAACCATATAATGCATACGAAATAAAGGAATCCTAGTTTATTTGCGTGCAAAGTTGCTGTCCATTGAGGAGGCGGTACGCTGTATGTTGTTGAGATTGGCCCGGATGCGATCGCCTATGGAGTTCTGGTTGGCAATGGCCTTCTTAACCTCCTTGTTAATGAACTCCTTGTCGAAGTCTCGTTCGCGGTTTTGGGCCTCCTCACGAGCGTACGCTTCTCGGTGCTTGCGAACAACTTGGGTGCGGTCGGCTTCCCTCCAAGTGGCGTTGTCCATCATTTCGCGCAGACGAGCTTCTCGGTCGGCGGCGCTTAGCTTAGGCTTGCCGGTGGGACGACTGGGCGAAGGACTGCGTTCCCTTTCCCCTCGCTGGGGCGGCCTTTCAGCAAACCTTCGCCTGTCATCTCGTTTCGAACTTCGGCTCCTGCTGCGTTTTGATCTGGAACGCTCTTCTGGTGTCCTACTCCTACGTTTCTCGCGCTGCCTTGAACTTTCCTTGCTTTCATCTGGGCGATACCGTCTGGTTTGTCTGTCCTCTGGGCTCCTGCTTCTTCTCTCCCTTCTCGCTAAGGGACTTCTGCTCCTACGCCTTTCCCTTCTCTCGTCTGGACTCCTTTGCCTCTGCCTTTGTTCCGGGCTTCTGCTCTGTCGCTTTTTTCTATCCCGTGGGCTTCTGCTCCTGCGCCTTTCTCGCTGATTTCTGTCTTCAGAGCTGTGGCTCCTCTTGTTCCTTCTCCTGGGCTCTGGTTCCCTAGATCGTTGTCTTTTGGGCTTTTCCTCTTTGTCGCTACTCTCGTCACTGCTATCGCTGCTTTTCTTCTTGGATTTCTTGCTCTTTTTCTTGGTAGCCATGTCTAATTGCTTGGAAATCGTGCGGTACTTGGCGTCCAGCAGCTTGTCCAGTTTAAGTTCACCTTGGTCTCCCTTAAGCTTGCTTACTTGGCGGGCTAATTTTCTGTCCAAATCATCGTCGCTATCATTGCTCTCACTGTCATTACTTTCATCATCGCTGGATCGTCGGTTCTTTTTCTTCTTTTTGGATTTCTTGGACTTTTTGCTCTTCTTGACCTTCTTATCCTTGGCTGCCTTTTGTTCCTGTTCAGTCTTGAGGATGCGATGGATTTCCTTCAGCTTGACGGGGTTCTCAAGTAGTTTTCGGCGGGATTCCATCTCGCGCTGCTTGATGAGCATTAGGGGATCCTCGAGCGTTTTGCGCTGTATGTCCACCTGTTCGTTGGACTGCAGATTGCGGTACGTCCGGATAGAGAAGGGCACACAGTCGTGTTCCACATGGTTGATGGACTGCTTGAGACCCACCGTGTTCTGCTCCTGGCGGCTCTCCTCCGCTTGCAGAGTCTCAAAGGACTTGTCGATCTTGCGGCCCAGCAGGTACTCCTCGCGGTTGATCAGCTCTGTGCTATCTGGAGCAGGATATACATGAAGCTAGTGGGTTTAATTAGTAATTCACCTGGATGACTCACTTTTGTACATCCACTCCAGCTTGGCTTCGCCGGCGGCTCCCCCATTATTGCTCAGCACTCCTGAACTTTCGCCCAGCCGCCTCAGTTCCTCTCTGTCCCGCTCCTCGTTGATCTCCTTGCGCAGATCCTGCAGCTTGCGCTCCTCCATCTTCGCTTGCTCCTCCGCCTTCCAAACGCGCTCCTGGTTTTTCATCGTGTGCGGATGCCATGATTTCTTTAGATTCTGCGGGGAATATCAATGATTTTTAACGGATAATAAGTTGGAAGATATTACTTACTAGATCTCCGCCACCCATCTTGGGTTTGGTTTGGGTTTTAACAGCAAAACAAACAAGTTACAAACAATTCCAGTTTTTCCCTCCTTTTCGTGTGTTTTCATCAAAATCATATGTTCAGCCGGGCTGCCAGATCGTGGAGAGGTGTATTATTAATTTGGTGTTGCCGTACAGTTCGATTTTGCTACAACTATTTCCAATTTCTTTAAAAATAGTTAATGCTGAATTTATTTATTTTTACACTTACTTCCTTATCATGCTTTTATTTTTCAGTCAAAAACAGTTACTAAATTGTATTTAATATGCTTCTTTTGCGACAGATTTTATGTCATAAAGCTCAATCTCAATTCACTAAATTAACATTTCAACGATTTTTTAGCAATAACGATTGCAATGGACAGCAAGTAAAGAAGTTGAGCTTAAAAAATGTAGATGTGGCTGGAAAAAGGGTTTTTATGAGGTGAGTATCCTTGCGAGATGTTCCAGTTGTATGATCTATACATTTATTTTAAGAGTGGACTTCAATGTACCCATGAAAGATGGTAAAATAACCAACAACCAACGAATTGTTTCCGCACTTCCCAGTATTAAATATGCTCTGGATAAAAAATGCAAGTCCTTAGTGAGTAGTAGTCTTCTATATAGATAAATTTTTTAAATCATCATAAGTCTTTGATCAGGTTTTGGCTTCCCACTTGGGACGCCCCGATGGCAAGAAGAACCAAAAGTTTAGTCTGGAACCGGTGTCCAAGGAGCTGGAGAATGTGCTGGGCAAGCCGGTTAAATTCTTGGACGACTGTGTGGGTGATCACACACTGGAAGCTTTGAAGGATCCGTCCGAGGGCACGTTGGTCCTGCTGGAGAATCTTCGTTTCTACGCCGAGGAGACGGGCAGCAGCAAGGACGAGAACAAGAAGAAGGTCAAGGCCGATCCCCAGAAGGTCAAGGAATTCCGGGCCAAGTTGGCGCAGTTGGGCGAGATCTATGTGAACGATGCCTTCGGAACAGCACATCGTGCGCATAGTTCCATGATGGGCGATGGCTACAAGGTGCGAGCGGCTGGATTCCTGCTGGACAAGGAACTGGAGTACTTTGCCAAGGTGCTCCACGATCCAGCGAAGCCCTTTTTGGCCATTTTGGGTGGCGCCAAGATAGCCGACAAAATTCCGCTAATAACGAACCTCCTGAACAATGTGACGGCCATGATCATTTCCGGCGGCATGGCCTTCACCTTTCTCAAAGTGCTCAGTAATATGGAGATTGGAAAATCCCTCTACGACGAGAAGGGATCCAAGTTGGTAAACGACATAGTCTGCAAGGCAAAGGAGAAGAATGTGAACATACTATTTCCGATTGACTTTGTCGTTGCCAACAAGATCGACAAGGAGCCGGATAAAATCGATTACGTGGATGTCACACAGGGTATACCGAAGGACATGATGGGTCTGGACCACGGCCAGGTATCCAGTGAGATGTTTGCAGGCGCCATTTGTGCGTCCAAAACCATCGTGTGGAACGGACCGCCAGGCTTATTCGAGAACGAGCTGTTCTCCCAAGGCACCGAGTCCATGTTGCAGGCAGTAATTGGGGCCACAAAGAGGGGCGCCACCACAATCGTGGGTGGTGGGGACACGGCCACCGCTTGCTTGAAGTTCGGAGGCGCCGACAAGGTCTCACATGTGTCCACAGGCGGAGGAGCTTCCCTGGAGTTGCTCGAGGGAAAGGTTCTGCCTGGAGTGGCTGCCCTTTCGGATGCCTGAAAGCAGAGCCTTTTCTACTTTACTTGTGCATTCACTGTGGATAATTAAACAATCATTCTCTCAAAATACAAAGTTAAGTTTATTGTGGAATAACATTAGTCGGTTAAAACTTGATAAAAGAGCGGGCCTCGACTTAAACAGATCTCGTACAGCATTTCTTAGCTGTCTTTTTACCTCCATAAATTTGGTCTAAACTTAAAATTTAGCATGTTCCTTTCTCGCAACAAAAACTTTTAACGTAGTAACTAATAACCGCATCGACTAAACAAAACATACGCTTTTGGCATAGAAACCGCACGAGAACTGTTTGACCCAGCCCTGAAGGGTAATACAAATGGAATAACATTGTTGGATTAATCGAAGCTAATCAGTTCCGCCGTAGCTGGCTCCTCAGCTTTAACGGGCGGCGGACCCGGTTCGTTTTGCGGCGGAGCTGGTGCAGCTGCCACTGCTTGGACTTGATTGTTGGCGATTTCGGTGACTGGAGGTGCCTGTGCTGCTGGAGGAGCCTGGTTGGCCAAGGGCTGGTGCTGCTGCATCATTACGTGGCCCATTTGGGGTGGTGGCTGGGGCTGCTGAACAGGGATTGGCTGAGGCTGCTGGCCAGGAATCTGCTGTGGCTGCGGACCAGGAATCTGCTGTGGTTGCTGACCAGGCATCGGCTGAGGCTGCGGTTGAAATGGCATTTGAGGAGGCTGGGCGATCGAATGCTGCTGCGGCTGTGGGACTTGGGGCTGCTGCAGGATTGCAGCTGGATTGTTCGCAAACTGACTTTCGGGCATGGGCGGCATCATCTGGGGATTTCCAGGTGGCGCGGGTTGTTGCATTAATCCCCCGGGCTGTAGATTCGGCGGCAACGGTTGCTGCATTGACGGATTGTACATGCCCGGTGGAATGGCCTGGAACTGGCCATGTCCGTTGGGAGCCGGAGCGGGACCCTGTGGCAAATAGCCGGGCACACCGGCAGCATATGGATTATAGACGTTGTTGAGCTGATGCGAGGGCGATCCGTGTTGCGGCACCGCCGATGGTGGCATGTAGGGGAAAGGTGGAGCCGACTGGCCCATTAAATACTGCGCCTTCTGCTGCTCCTGACGCAACTGCATCTCGCGCTCCTGCTCCTGGATGCGCTGCAGGGCCAACTGTCGTTGATACTGCAGATACTCCTGCTTCTTCTTGCGCATTATGTCCAGCTTCTGGGCCATCTGCATCTGCCGTTGCCGCTCCTGCTCCTCGGCAATCCTGCGCAACTTCTCCACATGCTCCTGACGCAGCTGGTCCAGCGCAGCCCGCGAGTCCTTGATCTGGGTGAGCTTGTCCTGCAGCTGCTCGTACCACATGCGCTTGTCGTCCATCTCCTTGATGTACGACAACTGCTGGGAGTGCAACGAGGTCAGGGTCATGAAGAGAGTCTGCACAGATGAGTCGTTGGAGATACTGCGACCGCGACTCGAGTTCGACTTCATGCGGTTCACAAAGATCTCCACCTGGGTGCGCATATTGGCGGCAAACTCATCGATCTGCACTTCGTCCGCACTCTTGGCCTGCAGGGGCATGATCTGCTGGGGCTGCGGAGTTGGTGGCATGGGGCTCGGTGCCGAGGGACTAGCCATGGAGGACGATTCGCTGATCTTGCGCTGCTCCCAGTAGCTGCGGTTCAAGTACTTGGCCAGCTCCGGATTAGTAGTCTCCTCGGGCTGCTGGTGGTACTCCTTGGGCTCTGGTGGTGCCTCCGGACTGGGAGACCTTTGCTGGATGCGATAGGCAGCGGCTGGCGCGGACTGCAGCTTGGGCTTCTGCTGTTCCGCTTCCGATTGACTGAGGGCCAGGGCCAGCTGTAGTTCCTCCTCCTCCTTGAGTTCCTGCTCGGTTTTGCGGGCTGGTGTCTAAAAAAAGGGTTTTGCTATTAATTGGCAGTTCTTTTCTCATGCACAATTGTTTTCCAATCTGTTGCGATTGGATAGCTGTTTTTCAGAGTGACTCACCTGCACTTGCTGAGCCAAAGTGCTGTTCAGATACTCCGCCGGAAGGTCGCTGTCCGCCGGACGTTGTCCAGACTTAGCAGTCCCACTGCCGCTCGTCGGCCGCTGGAGGGCAGCGAAGCACCCGTCGCATACACGCACATCCTTTTCGATGCCGTACTTGGGCAGCGGACACTGCTTGGCCGTGCACTGGCCACAGAAGACTTGGCCGCAGTTCCGGCAGTGATGCTTCCGGTTAGTGAAGGTGAACTCCACGCGACAGCGATGGCATACCCTGCCATCTGCCCAGTTGGGCGCCGTGTCCGCCGTGAACATGGCATCTGCCTCTCGAAGTTCCGGGAAGGTGTGCCCCTTGGCCTTCAGGATGGTCATGGTGTCCTGCAGAAAATGGGATTTTTAGTGATAGTAAGTGGCTTTGAGTGAGTGAGTCTACTAGGGATTCCTCCTCTATGCTTAGTTCCTCCTCGGAGCTCATTTCTATTCAACTGATGACATTTCACTGGCGTGTGCTGCACGGCAAACAGTTGTTCTCTACTAATTAGATTAATGGTCAAGCACAGGGCCGGATTTTGAACTAAATACTAGGGTGATGCAAAAACTAGAGCTTTTAGTACATAACTGATGCTGATCTGGCTAAAACTATACAAATTGCTTTATATATAAGTGGGGTTTTCTATTAAAAATGGTGTTTCGAATAGAAAATAATTGAAATGTAATGCATAGATGAGCCTACCATATTTTTTCAAGATAAAACTACCAAGAATACTAGTCACTGTGCCCTAAAAACGAGGTAATCTCCTAGTAAGTTCCAGTCCTACCTTGATGGCTTGGTACTTGTCCGAGGAGCGGAATGCGTTGGCCCAAGTCTGGACCAGCTCCAGCATCTTCTGACGCACGTTCTCGTGGGGCGTGGACTCGAGGAAGCTGCTGAACATCTCGCAGTTCTCCTTGGTGAAGACCTCCTCGTGGACGGGCGCGCCGCAGTTCTTGACGATGCTCTCGAGGACCAGGAGGGAATAGCAGGAGGAGTGCGGATTGGGCGAGTTCATCTTCTTCTTGATGGCGGCGAAGGCATTCTTGGGACTGCAAATCATAGGTTTTTTGTTTAAAATGATTACCGGGAATCGCCGAAACTTACGTGACATCTTTTTGGTTGATTTCATCGCAAATCAGGAGGATTGAGGGCCAGTCGGGCTCCAAACGCAAGTGACTGGTGGCATTTTCTGCGAGTGGAAAGTGCGTAGTTATTAGGCCTTTGTGTGCTTAGCAAAATCTCCATTTGTTTTCGAGTTCAATCGCCTTTTTATTGTTACTTCTTAATTTCTTCTTTCTTCTTTTTTTGTTTTTCGATGAGTCATTTTTACTCATTGGTTTACTTTCTGGGTTTTGGTGCTTCTTACCTAAGTTTTTGTCGAAACTTGATCGAAACATGTTTTCTGTGCTTTTATGATGCTTCTGGTCGCTGGTTTTCTATTTTTATTCGACTAAAATCAGGAAAGTTTATTATTATTGTTTTGCAAGCAAAGAAATTTTCTGCACTGCGCCAGTGTTGCCACATCAATGCAATTAACATACTCTTGCAGTGCTGCCAGATGACCAAAGCGCTTGCAACGGAAATATGAGCAGCACAAAATGACTAACGCGCCAAGCTTAATCCATAAAGTTTTGAATATTCGTAACGGATTTTCAAAAATATGCAAGGAATGGCACAGAAAAAATTATTTAAGTTCTAAGTACGCAACATTGCAGACTTTAAGCCTGTGTCCCCAGACTGGAAACGCATTTGGCAATCGAAAATCATGAGCAACTCATTTACTTAAGCTTCTTGTTTATTTCGTTTGTTCATAAAGGTCTCTCTTACAATTATGTTAACTAGACAAATAATTACACGTATATAAAGGTTAATTATCCATACATAAACAGTATAAAAACTATGATTCGCTATGCTTAGAGGTTGCCGCAACAGTTGGCACACGCATATTGCAATGGTCCGTTGCATTTGTTAAAGTATCACACGCCGGTATATAAAAGGTTGGTTTACTTGCAACTAAGCGATATACGTATCGTATATAAGTAACATAAAATCACATTCGATTCAAATTAAGCCGAATACTAAAGCGAACACGCGTATAGCCCCCTTCAGTTCGTTTTGATCTTGTGCTTCAGCGTAAAGTAGGCCAGAACCTTGAATATCGCTATTTGGATGAGGATCATGATGATGTTGTGTCCGAAGTCGCCGCCCTCCATTCCAAATTGTCGCAGGACAGTCACAGCGTTCCTATACAATCGGTAATACATTAATCACTCGTATAATGTTGCGTTTCTTCAGTTTGCTGTGTTTCACTCACTTGAAGTGGCAATAGAACTCCGTGGGTGGGCAGATCAACTGGCCACGCTGGTTGCCGTACAGCGAGATGACCATGTTCTCCAGGGCGTAGCGCAGTGGCGATATGTAGGCCATGAACCGCATGGCAGACGGAATGTGATTCAGCAGGATGAGGAAGCCGGAGAACATCAGCATACACGACGTCGAAACGGCGCCAACGAAGGTTCCATTCTGCGAAGCAAGTTCGTAGTGAAAAGAATGCTAGCTCTGGTTTAAAATGGGGTTCACCTACCACTGGATTCAGCACTGTGCCCAGGAAGACGCCCAGACCATCCGCACAAATCGTGATCACCACCGCACTTAGTAGATACTTCACAAATCGTTCCATCTCCACGGGCTGGTCCGTCATCAGATAGCCTATCGTTATGTACACCGTCGAGAAGATAATCTAGAAAAGGCGTGGGAGATTATAAGTGCGTGTTGGCATGTCCTGCAGAATGGATCATGGACTCACATGGACTGGAGTGGACGTGATGATGGTGGCAAGGTAGTAGGTTCGCAGTTTGTACCAGTTGTTGAAGGTCTCCTTCCGGATGATCTCTATTTCGGCGGGATCTGCAACACGCATCATATGGATAAAGCGAGCCTATGGTAGCACACTCAAACCGACTTACATCTCAAAATGCCCGGCATAATGGTGGTGTACCAGAGGTATACGCAGTGGATCATGATCATGCCAACGTTGGAAATCTGCTTGGTGGCATTGCTGCCCGAATCGCCGAAGAACAAACCGATCAAAATGGAACAGAGCACATGGATGCCCAGCTTCAGGTAGGTGAGCGTCTGCAAAAGGGTGTTTAGATATCCAATTCGGTCTAGAGCAAGGTGAGAGTCAAAAGCAACTTACCCAATCCCTGAAGAACTGCAGGTGACAGCGGCCGATGAGCAGCCACAGGCGCATGTATTCCGTGGGCGGATAGATGTGCTTGGTGAGATCCTTGGACGACTCCATGTTCTGGATCTCGATCTTCTGCACCTGCACCTGCACCTGCCCGGGTGACTGCGATTCGTTGAACTTGGCCACCTGCGTCTCGCTGGGCTCATCGGCAGTCTCGCCCTGCATCAGCTGCTGATCGTATCTCCAGCGGATGTCCTTGGCCGCTTCCGCCAGTGCCTCCGTCTGGTCGCCGTAGTCCCCATTCGCGCACTCCAGCACTGAAATGATTAACACCTTTAATGACACGCCCCGACTTTGGTATTGAACAGGTCCAATTAGGAGATCCCAAATGAGTAGTCATGTGGGGAAGGGCGCCCAGCTGGGCAGCAGCTACTCACGGAAGTCGGCGGGATTGTGGTAGGGCGGGCACTCCAAGCCCACGCTGCTGAGAAACATGACCGTGTTCTGGGGCGTGCCCTGGTAGGTGCATCGACCCGCGCTGAGCACGTAGACCAGGTTGAAGAGATTGTAGATGTTGGTCGACGGCTGGTGGATCGTGCACACGATGGTGCGTCCCTCGTTGGCCAGGCCGCGCAGCAGCTGGATGGTGTCGAAGGAGGAGGAGCTGTCCAATCCGCTGTGGGTGATTAAAGGTCGGAATGTGTCAATCTGGCATCATGAACCGAGCGGAACTGGTTTCAAGGACCACAATGGACCTCTCACTCACGTTGTGGGCTCGTCTAAAAATAGAACCGCTGGATTGTCTATCAGCTCCAGGGCGATGGACAGACGCTTCTTCTGGCCGCCACTCAGGTTGGAGCACTTCGTCTGCCGCGTCTTCGACAGCTTCAGTGAGTTCAGCAAGTAGTCGATCTGTAAATAATCGTCAATTAGCGTTATCAATCATTACTATTTAGAATTTATAATTTATGGCAGATATAGATGTGTGTGTGCCTACCAGCGTTCGCTTTTCCTTCAGACTGACGCATTTGTTGGAGATTTTAAGTGTGGCCGACATCAGCATGGTCTCCTCCACGGTGAAGTAGGGAAAGAAGTGATCATCCTGCATGATGTAGCCGCACAGCTTGCGCGCCTTCCCGATCTCGATCTTCCCACTGACCCCGGATTTGGTCAGACCCGTGAGGATGTTCATAAGACTAGATTTGCCCGCGCCCGAGGGGCCCATTATGGCGGTCAGTTCGCCCGACTTGAAGGTGCCCTTTATGCCTTTCAGCACCGACTTCTTCTCTGGAATACAAAATGGTTGGCAAGCATAGGTGGTTACTTAATGGCAGCCACATAAAGTACTTTTCAATTGTGGCAGATAAAAATGTAATTAGTGTGCATATATGTTGCTATAACATTTAAGTGACTGTTGATTGCAGGTTCGGCTTGTGTTACAACCTTTATATTAAGTTTGTGTAACCCGCAGGTTGGCTCATAGTTTAGGCCATATCATGCCACATAGCCTCTCCCAATCAAATGGTTTTCTTAGATGCGGGCACTTAACAAGGTCAACAAGGAGCCATTAGGCAGGCAGGCTTTAAGGTAAAACCGCTCATTAAAGCTGCATACATCATAAAGCAGAAGCCAACGTTTCGGATGGGTCAGTCTAACGAAATGATTGCCTGTTCCACTTAAGACTTGTGCGCAATCTTTGAATGTGCTCCATTTTCGGCAATCGCTATTGCGGCTGCTCTATTGACTCCGGATTATCAAGGAGTAGCACCTGTGCTCCGGGATCTTCTCTTCCGGCCCACTTTCGGTGCTAATAGAGATAGTCCATGGAGAACTGCGAACCTCGCAAAGAGATCCTCCATCCAATGAAATAGTCACACAGACTCTTGTTTTGGCTTTCTTAACGACTGATTAGAGAACATATTTTGGCATTGTGAGCCACTTACCTTGCTGCTTGGGTACGTTGACCTGGTAGACGAGATCTTCGAAGTGAATGTCGATGCCGTAGACATTCTTCAACAACTTGCTGCTATCCATTTTGTGTGTTTTGTGTGTACTCTTATTGTTCCCGTGCTGTTTACGAAACGTTTGAACGCTGATTTATTTCGGAAGCTTATCGGAATATTTATTCGATCTGCTCGCTCGCCTTGCACATTATTTACACGTATCAAATTCGGCGAACAGCACTTTAAATCGTTCTCAAAGTGGCTGTGCTGTGCTGTGCGCGGCAAACAACAGTATTATAATGGATTACCAGCCACCATCTGGTTAGCCCCAGTTTTCAATTGCAATTTGTGTGTGTGTGCCTGTGTGTGTGTGTGTGCGTGTGTGTGTGTGCGGGAATCGAAATTATATCACTTAAATGCCCCGCGGCGCCAACTGGAGCGCGTCTCGAAGCGCAGCGACCTCAAAGTTCGTGGATTTTCGTAACGCAAGCTGGCCCTCGAATTTCCACCAGCACCCTATGCTGTTGTGAATTTTCCGCGTGGAAAACCTGGCAAGTCAAAACCGAACTACCGAACTACCGAACTTGCGATCTGCGCATGCGCCCGCGTTGGCAGACAGCTGATAACTGCGGAAGAACTCGACGCCGACTGAAAAAGTGGGGAGCGCTGCCGCTGCCGCAGTCGCTGCCGGCGTCGGCGTCGGCGCAGCTGCTTGAAAGCAAAACACTAAAACAAAAACAATGTATAAAAATTATAATCAGGCAGCGCTAAGCACACTCGCATATCAAATCAAAAAAAAATAAATAAATAAAAAACGCTCAGCTCGGCAATGCAAAACGCGCTGGAAGTCAACAATCGCAAGCAAGCCGGCAGAATGGCGTTAAATTTCAAGTTTATAGTAAGTCATGCGGTTGTCGCCTATTTCCAATTTTAAATTTAAAATTTTTGGCCCGCCGAGAACAACGAACAAGTTGCCTTTCCACACAGCTTTTTATAACTAAGCGCAGTCACTCACACCTGCGTGGAGGAAATAATTATAAAAAATAAATACGATACAGCAGCGAACGACCTTGTCCAAAAACCAGAACATCTAACACACACTATGTGTGTGTGCACAAAAATCCACCAGAATTGGTGTGCGAAATACTATTCTTGTGATTTTGTAAACAAAAGTTGGAGAGTGGCGCATTTAGGCGAATTCCCAATCGCCTTCTGCGCTAATTGTTATGAGAATTCCACTCGTTACTTTCGCCCATTACATTTGAAATACTTGTGTGTACACAGCCACCGCAAACGCGAAATTCCAGGTTTGATTTAAATGTGCATCTCGCACTGCGCCACTTGCTGTTTTCAAAGAACTTCCGCAAATTATTCAATTAGTCATGGCACACGTAGTTCGATTCCAGGGAAAACACCCACTACGTGACTTTCGGTTTCGCAGATAATATGCCCACAATACACCCATTACATGGTAATGATCTCGGGAAAATCGCCCTACGATTGACTTTAGGGAACGTCTCACTTGTTGGTATGCAAATGGTGTTAACTGGAATGATCTCCATTTGCTTCTCGGAAACACTGGTTTCTGTAATTTCTGTGATTTCTGTGCTGACTCAATGGGGCTTGGGGCAGCCATATGCCTCACTTTCAGAGGCTAGGTGATCACGATTACCGCAACAAGTGGACAGAACGGATTGCCAAGAAGTAGCAGTTGAAATTGCGAAACAGATAATTGCGAAATTACATCAAAAGTCGAAAAAAGGAACGTTCTTGGAGCAAAAATGAAAACTGGTTGGGCGACAGTCCGGCAAAAAGTGAATCTGAATAGAGTTGTAAGAGGTGCAAAGGAGAGGTCCACTTACAGTGCGCACCCGCTATGGCGTAAGTATTGCTCAAAGTGATTTGTCAAGGCATCAGCGTATGCATTAATTACATAAAACTGTAATACAAACTTCATGGCAATGCCCAATGTAATTCTGCTCTTTGCCGTGTAGTTAAAACCAGCAACCTTAGAGTAACTGCTTCGAATTAAGGCCAAGCGCAATTTTCATAATTTTTTATTTGGCCAAAACCCCAAAAGCGAGCGAGGACTTCTCTTGGCGAGCGACCACTGTAATTGGCGGCCGACTTTATGGTTTTTGTTCTCGTTTCGCACTTTGCGAATCTCGCGCCGCGTAATTCCTTCTGTGAATGGACAAAAGTCCGTCTCAAATTGGGGCTGCGAGCTTTGGGGCTTTAGAATTTGATTACGTGACCGCTGAATTAATGGCTCAAGATTTCGTACGCCACTTGGCTGCACACAGCAACCTTCGCGGGGCAAACAAAAGTGATGAAAACAGCGCGCACGGAAGCGGCAAGTAAATAAAGTATAGTATTTTATACACGAAATGAGGTTATCATTATGATCCACCGCCACTTATGGACGGCAGTCAGCTGTCCGGGGCTCCCATGGTTATCTATTCGCTTGGGGAAAATAATGTCAATTAATAATAGCTGTCCTACCTTCGCCACTGAAACCTCTGCTGACCCGCGGCTCGATAAAATTACAAATGCAGCCGACTATCGGCCAAGCGGCAATAACAAATAATAATAATAACAATGGCAATAACAATAACAGCAGCGACTTGTCTTGGGAAGGCACACACTTGTGCCGAGAACTCTGGAATGCCACTTGCTATCAATTAAAATAAATTGTAATAACATTGCCTTTGACTTTTCCCCATTTCAATTGAGTCATTCCGTGCGAATCTCCCCGAAACTTTGCCATTTTACCCATGTGGCGGTTTTCAAACGGAGTTTTCGCAGTTTACTGGCTGTGAAGCATCCAAAAGTGAGCAAGTGAGCTATTGGGAAAGGTCTGCGAGTTATACTGGTCAGTTGTCCAGTAGTTTTAGGCACAGTTAGCCACTCGAAGAAGTAATCTAAGAAAATGGGTGCTTTAGATCAATATTATCAGGCGAGTCCATTATTTCAGTGCCCAATAATGGATATTAAGTGTAAATCCCACTTCTAAGTGGTATCGTTTTATACCAGCTTCTTATCCATTTAGGAGCATGACTCATCCGATAGAACTCCCACTCTCCACTTGCGATTCGATCTGCAAGTGTTTTTGTTCCGGGTGCTAGGAAAAAACAGATGCCTGGCATAGTAATGCGTTCTAATCTTGGTCTTGCATAAACACAACAAATCGTATAAACAAACCGGCAAGTGCTGAAAGAGAAACAGCCCGCCCATCAATCCGTCGGATGGCAGAAGTTCCCCAACTCGGTGATGATGATGATGATCAGCTATTGTGCAATCCGAGGGTATTGCGGCAGCCAAGTAACATAAATAATCGCATAACCCGATGCTATAACCGTCTACTATTCTGCTATCAACCCTTTGTGATTTAGCAGTCGGGCAAACAGTTTTGCATTCAATTAGCCGCTATTGCGCTTACGTAACGGCCAAATGCAAATATACTGTATAGTAGCTCATTCATGCGGCGATCGCGACACGCCGTTTACACTGAGAAGACACTCGGCACTTGGCAATTATCGGCTGTCAAAACTTCAGGAAGGGTGTCAAGTTTTCATCGGTTCTGTCAGCGGCTTTAGTAACGCCATTTGAAAGCTTGCGAAAATTCCAAAGTACTCGCATGTACATTGAACCCAGTTCCTGTCGCAATAATGGCCAATATTGCTGAGCTAGTGTACTTGCCGGTTGCACAGCTTTTACAAGGTCTTTGGCAAAGTGCTTATCACAATCTTTTCCGGTATTTCTTGTAAGTTATTGACTTCATATAGAAACTGCATCGCTGTTATGTGTAGTTATGGCAACAATGTTGTAAATCATGCAAATAATTGGCCATGTTGCGAAGTTGTAAGTTAATCACTTCCAAGATCGCAAGAGATTAGCTATGCAAATCAGACATTGCAGGCTAACTACCTCGATCAATTTGACCCCTGCTGATAGCTGGTTCTATCGTCTAGACTTCTTCGCTGCAAGAGCGCAAAAAATTCAGCTGCCCCACATAGATAGGGATTTGGAAAAGACAGACTTTTATGCGCTCGAAGAGATAACAGCGAGAAAGGCGACACAATTCTACACAAGAGAAGAACACAACTGGGCGACAAGAAGACACTAAGTGACGCTCATTCATGCTTTTATAATCCGAAAATAGAATTCTTCTGTCGCCCAGCCGAAGATTTCAATTCTCCCACCCAAACCACACATATACGACTGTGTGACTCTATTGCCAAGAGATATAACGAATAAAGTGGCGGCAAGGTTACACGAAATCAAATTATGCTCTGGGCTACTTTGTTGGCCCGCGATCATCTATTCCGCTGATTAGAGGAATCCGAATCCGATCCGAATCCGTAGCCGAACTCAAGGCCAACTGGACTGGAAACAGATCGCTTTTCAATGCGATGGCACGTCCATTTCCTTGGTGCAGTTGGTCTAGGACCGATAAGTCGTTTGTTTCCCTAATAGATGATAAGGAGGGTCAGCCTTTTGCACAGCCGCACCCTCACGCCCAAATGCTCTGTGTGTCATGTGCACTCAGAGAAAAAAGAGGGAGTTTAAACAGGAATATTGGTACTTAAGCAGAGCGAGTTCTTAAGCTTTGGAGGTCGAAATGGGCTATGCTTGATCTATAATTATGTGAAATACAATGAGCTATTACCCATCTAGTAATTTCCAAAATTACTGCCCTATAAAATATTAAATTTTCTGTGCTGTTTCTTTCTCTGCATGGGAAATGACTGACTTTGTTTGCACTCATGTTTAGATTGGGGCGCGAACTTGAAGCCCCATGCAAAGCGGTGGGTATTGCATTACAAATTGTACTTTTCCACACCAGCAGCACCCACAATAAGAGCCGCCCCAACCACCGAGTGGAGCCTGCTGGCCCACATTCTGCGGTGGTGACAATGGCATCGTCGTGTCCACGAGGGTGGGGCCATCTTGGCATTGTGGCACTGCTACCATTCCATTCTGGCCATGTCCGTTCGCTCTGGTGACGGGTGATATCATCATCACAATTTGGCAGGGCATAATCGCTGACTAATAAAATGCAAATAAATACTCCAGTTTATTTGATCAAGACGCCGTGGCGAACATGTCCAAACATTGTGGTCATTAAAACCGTACGACATACGGGGCGTATGCGTATTACTGGCGTGCCGTAATTGCGTAGCCGACATGGAGTCCCCGTGATAGATTCTCCACACGAACGAACTTTGATCTGCGAGGAATCGGCCGAGTATAAATTGTTATGCCTCATTTGTTGATGTGTGGCTGCGGTCTATTTTCTGTATGATTTCATTACAATTAGAATAAGACCCAGAAAGCGAGGCGAAGGCCCCGAAAAGCGGGACACAAAAACCGGGGAACGTGCCAAATAAGAAAAAAGAAGAATGTGTAAAATGGGATATAGAACACAGCTGGAAATTAAAGCAATTCCCCGGCGCAGTTCAAAAAGGTGTGCATTTTCGATTTCGAAACGATTTTTGTGGCATAAATTTGAATAGATGGATTCCAGGTTTTCCGTTCGACTTGCGTGCGTATTTGATTTGCCGATATTCTATCATTTTCCTCCATCTATTTCTGCTGACTCACACAAATTGCATTTGCTCATAAGGGACATAAGATCTGGCGATCACAGAGATTTTCGTGATTTCCGTGATTTTCGTGATTTTCGTGATTTTTCACCATAGAAACACACCAAAAAACACACCACAGTTGTTGACCGGCGAAAGAACTGATGATTTTATTTATAATTGCGGGAAATATGCAAACTCTCGATTTGTAACACGCGCGCAGAAGAACCGACCATATACCATGTATATCTCTGGCCAAGAATATATACGAGTATCTCAGCTCGGACGTGGACAAAACGCTTCCGAATCGCTCGAATTGCGACGCGAGACTGAGGCGACTTTCAGACAGCGACTGGCTAAGTACAACGCGGGCCGCTCGACTAGTTTATTTTTCGAAGTTTATTTGCCGGCGTCAGCGTGGATATAGATACATGGGGCAGTGTAGGGCAGAGCGGTACGTCGGTTCGCCCGGTGGCAGGGCCCACTGTACCTAATGTTATTAATAAAAGCGGTCTCTCGGCGCTTCTTCATGCCGCGGCCCCATTGTTTATGATATGCCGTGTGATTTGTGCGGCGAATCAGATTCGATTCTCAGTTTTTCCCGCAGATTGGGACAATGTGCAAAATGCACATTTCGCATTCGCCAACTACTCTTTCGAAGGGTATTGCTGCATTCAGCGATAGAATGCGGACTATAATCAGAAAACCTGATTACTTAAGTTCAATTTATTTGGCGCTTTTTGTATTAATTATAGGAAAAATGCTCATATTATTTTGAACAAATGGCAATCGCAGTGTACAATCAGATGTCCGATAAATTCAACTGCCATTTCATTGGCGCAGTTCCGCAAGTCATAGAGCTGCAGCTTTGTCTGGTAGCCAGTAGATCTATTATATTTCCTTCCAGCCGGGATCCATGCAACACACTCTGTAATTTTGTGCTTAGCTCTGATTATATAATCAGTGATAATGTGACACAGAAGGTCGAAGTTAAGCAGCCATTTGAAAAGGGAATTACTCGTCTGGTCGACTTGGCATTTGAGAAACAGGCTGATTGAACTTGAATATGTTTTTTGCGGTAGCCTCTGCGGTTTATCGCCTTCGAACCCTTCTATTATAAGTGCCCTATCACATACAAATATATAGCCGGGCAAAGTTCGCGTTACTGGCGATTCAGTGCACTTGCAGTTTGATAACAGTTTGACTGGGTGATTAATATATTGGTAGCTAAGCTTTTGCTGTGGGTGCAAGACAACCCTTGAATGCATGGAAAAAGCGAACAAATTAACTCGAAACTAATTTGTTCACACCTCAGTACGCGAATGGTAATTGCCAATGCAGTGGATTAATAATAGACAATTACACTTGACTATAAATATTTAAGAAGCTGTCTATGGGAATTCCGAATTGGCGGCTTTAAACTCCAGTGGCATTCGGCGTCGTCACACAATAAATGTCATTCGGCTGTGGCATTTGCCGCCCCGCCGATTGCCCTTTTAATTATGCGGTCTTATCGGGCTGAAAAGGGTTACATATCTGGGTCCGTCATGATATACTACCCTATATTTGTAAACCCCGCCCAGGGGAATACAGTTATTTGCACTTCAATAATAATGGACGTAATAGAAACAGATACTCGTGCTTGTTGATTGTTATCGTTGTGCTACATTATATCCCATATATAGGCGTACAGTGCGTTTCACGGCCATAAGAGCTCTGTAAGCGCCAATGAAAGTGGACTGGGATTGCACATATAAGCCTACTTTTTTGATGGGTCATTAAATGGGTCCCACTTGATGATCCATTCAAGCTTCAAGTCTAATTGCCCATACATTCCTGCGATGCACTATTGGTTTAATATTGAGCTTGCCGCTAGTTGTGTGTACTTGCTTATTGATTGGCTTATCAAACCCTTGATTAGTACTTTATTTAGTAATCAAAACCAATAATACAAATATTTTCGCATAATAAGTGCATTGCTGCTTTGTGGCAATCTGTACTTTTGTGAAATATTCAGCTGATAGGCAAAGTTAACCACTTCCACCTCCAAAGTTAACCTTCCCCTAAGAAGGTACATATGAGATTTAATAGTGGGTGATTACTTTTAATCGAGTCAAACACTTTGCAACTGTTGAATTACACACTTATCTAAAGCGTAATAATATGCACTCGCTAATCGATTGGAATCGCACACGTTTTGCACAGATAGCCTCATTTATTAATTAATAGCCCATAAATATTATCATGACACATGGGTTGGCTCGTTGCACTGATTACCATTTTGATTGATGGACCAAGATCCACGAGTATCTGGTTGCCCATTTCTGAAAGTTCTAGCTTCGACGAATGCCCATTTTTCGGGATAAACCTGTTTCCGCTTGAGGGCACTAAAATGCCAAGTCTGTGCGCAGTCTAGACAATCCAAATATAGTATCTTTGTATCTATGTGTGCATATCTGCTTGGATGAGTCCGCGGTGCGGCTTATCAACGATAGGCAACCACAAATCGACGCGAAGTCAGCGGCAGATTTTCCTGCGTGCTTTGCGCCGACATGCGATCGCGATCGCGTTTGACATTGACATTGAAATCGAACATCGTACGCTGCGAGTGGCGCACACAACACGCTACGAATACAAAAACCAGCAGATACAACAGCAAACACCAGAAGCCACAAAAAGAGTGAAAAAAGCTGTAAAAATAACTAAGCCAGTGGCAGTGGCACTTGCAGCGGCCACTTGGGCAGCAAACAAACCAGCAACACGAGAAGTTGCAACAGTCATAGCAGCAGTAGCAGTCATAGCTACAAGATACAACTGCCACAAGCAACATGAGAAGCTACAACCCACTACTGCGAGTATCTTCTTCCCCATTGACAAAAAGCATGTACAACATTTGGAAACGACAACAACCGGCTGGCCTTCCTAGTCCACAAAACTCGGAATTAAGCAAATGTAGTAGCTACGAAGCATAAAAGCTGAGCGCCAAAAAGCTCGATGGGAATGCCGCTGACCCCGCCAAGATCCCCCTGCCCCAAGCCCCTCCCTGCGCCCACATACGTGTATAGGTATCTATATCTATCTATATTGGCCAGAAGTCGGCGCTTTGGGAGTTTTGTTGGGGTTTGCGACGTGTGCAGCGTCACGGTTGAGTGAACCCAACGCGCAACTCGCGCACCTTAGATAAATTTCAATGAACTGCATCCTATAAAAGCAAATGGTTTGGGGATGGCATTTAATGAATCGAAAGTTATTCGCAAGGCTCGGCAATTATCAGTTGTTATGGGATTGAATGCAAGTTACAGTGCGATGCTTAGGTAAATGAGTTGAGTAACACTTGATCTAAGTCATCTGGATAAAGCCAGTAGTGTTTGAAATACAAAACAAACATAAATACGTTAGCGGATAACATAAACTACTTAAATAACGCTTAGTTTGAACACGTTTAGGCATTAAGAACGGTGTTATTACGAAGCTCTGTTGATTGAATCACTGTTTTTTTTACATGGAAGCCATAATACATTGAATTATCGATGCCTGTACAGCGTCGATCAGGAAACTTGACAGCTCATTTGATTGTTATAATTGAAGCAGAAGTATTGAAGAGTCCATAACTCGAGTTATTTTATAGATGTGACATGGCCAGCCAGGTTGAAAACTGGTTTTTCGCATTTTAGAATTTAATATGGTCTCCAAGTTTTTATGCTTTCCGCCAGGCACTTTCTTTCCAGCTTACTATTCATACTGGTTTGACCTAACCCTTGAACTTTGCGCATATTTGGCATTGAAAATGTAGTTCTGGGCAGCTCAGATTTTGTAATTGGTAGTTTGCAAGCGCAGCCAATTAGGCACATTAACATTTATCACTTAAGTCTGGGAGAGTCAATAGGCACTTGTCTAAACCCATTGTGATGGGAATAAGATCACAATTTGATGAATGCACTACGTGTATCTAATTGCAATTTTATTGACTACATCGAACTGCAAGTCAGCTTAGAGGATCTGACAAGTGTTCTAGCCACTCGCAAAGTATCGACGGCGGTTTCAGTGACTTTAAATACGTGTATGTATAAATGCAATATAATTTGCATGGCAGTCACGACGATATGCAAATAGCCAGCCTCAACTATTAGCCACAATTTCTGAATGAACTGAGCGGGAAGTGCACTCACCTCTATCTTTGCCCACTTCGCCGCGATAGCAGAGGTCCTCGAAGACAATATTTAAGTGGCTGTTTACTGCAGGTGCGATATTAAATGAATGCTATCAGCCTGAAGCTAGTTATTAAAGGCCTTCGTATGCGTGTTAAAAATATATCATAGCCATAAAGATTTTAATTGCGCACATTTTAAGTTAAGTCCCGTGCTGCCGGCTGAAACGAAGTGACTTAATGCCAGATATTAGGAGATCCACTACGCCCACGACTTAATTCGCTTCACGTGTGGCTACTTAATCATTGCCAGAATGTTTGGTTGGCAGATGGCACAGGCCCCATCGTTGCAAATTATAGGCAATGTCGCACTTCAGCTACCCGGATATGATAGCAAATTGATAGATGCACACATATTGATTTCAGGTTTAAAGTTCAGTCGTGACTTGCCTGTGGAGCTGTGATAACAAAGTTTCCCAAGAAGAACATAAGTGGGGAATTTTCGTTTATTAAAACACGGCTATTTTTAATCCCTTTTTAATAATAATAATGCAAGCTCTCTAATTTCCCTCGGTTATGTTTTTCTAATCACCTTTTCCGTTACTAAGGATATCGTTAGCCTCTGTTCGATTTGACGTGCAATGCGAAACTAAAGTGACAGCTTTGAGCTTGCGAATGAATTGTTATCAAAGTGTATGATTTAATTACTGGCTATTCTCGAATCGGACTTGCATTTGAGGCAAACTCCAGTTCGTTCAAGTTCAATAATGCTTGTTATAAGCTGTTGAAAATCGTTGTTTGCCGCAACACATTGTATATAATCGATGTATTTTGAACTTAATTTGACGTTTTCGAACAGCTTTTTCACCAGCTCACCTTTTTTCGTCTATATAAAACGAGGTAATTAAAAATTACCTTGATAGTTAAGATAGTTAAGGCTGACGAACGTTACCTTTAAACAGTAGCTAATTAATAACATTAGCTTGATTTATACAGGCTGATCGCCTATTTAACATACAAACTGAACCCATTTCCAGTCTGGTAATTGCCCTTATCTTATTCTTACTTACATTGTCCTTAACGTATTCTTTCTTACATTGTTTGGTAAGCGTCCTTAACTTATTCATACTTACATTGTCTGTTAAATGCCCTTAACCTGCTCATACTTACATTGTCTGGTAAACAGCCTTAAATATTCATACTTATTC